TATATATATATATATATATATATATATATATATATATATATATATATATATATATATATATATGCATATATATATAAATCTGTGGGTGTGCGATTACTGTCTCAGACGCGGTCCTCAAGTGCTGACCTATGTGGCAAAGGTAGCTCGAGCGACCTTTCCTTTGACATGCGACTCCGCGCCGTCGTCGAGAAAGTCGATATAGATCTCTCTGTCATCGATAACCTGGTTCACTGAAATATTACACCACGGGAAACGCCCAATTTCGCCATTATGGAAACCTAGCTTCCATCAGGTAAGGTCATGCTGCAGGTGGCGGGGGTACGTACGCCAGAGGTTCAGAGAGGCACATACTGAGTAATTTTCTTTTTTATATGTATACCGACGACTCTAAAAGTGCGGATGAAAATTGTTGACTGAATACCAGTTGAGATTCTGATTACCAAATCATAGATTGATATTCCCTGCGGCAATTTTTGCAAATGATAAATCCTTTGATTATGCACTATCGACGATCCACGATGGTTTGGTATTTTTTCAGATTCACTAAGTTCATTTCAAGTTATTAGTTTCTTAGAATTCACAAAAGAACGTAACTCTGGGTAAAATCGTTCGTATGCTACATGGTGCCAATAAATTATTCAAGCTAATATGAGTACCAGGCAATTTAGCCAGGTCAGCTGGTGATATACAGCACACACACAAACACACACATATATCTATCTATCTATCTATATATTTATATATATATATATATATATATATATATATATATATATATATATATATATATATATATATGTATCTATCTATCTTTATATTTATACATATATGTTTATATATACATACATACATACATACATACACACACACACACACACACACACACACACACACACACACACACACACACACACACACACACACACACACACACACACACACATATATATATATATATATATATATATATATATATATATATATATATATATATATATATATATATATGTATGTATGAATGTATGTATGTATGAATGTATATATGTATATACATATGTGTATGTATGTATATACACATATGCACATTTCGCTACAACAATAATGCTCGTGAGCTTTCATTGTTATTCATTATCAGTGGCATTATTTATCATGATCAAAGTCATGAATATTATTTTGATTTTGTTGATAGATGATATCAACATTATTTTTCTCAATAGTTTTACAATGTCTTTGAAGATAAAACAACACTTTTACTTGTATAACAAAAGAAACGTTGAGAGAGAGGCAGGCTCGATAACAATGATCGTGGCGATAAAGGAGAGAAAGAGAAAGACTTGATAAAAAAGGGAAGTGCATTTTTAAAAGTTAACGTGTGAGGACCATCTCCAATTCGACATAATCCACGATGATGAAAAGAAAAGGTGATTTTCGAGTGTGTATCAGATGAAAATATAAAAAAATGGACATAGATTTATAATTTTCATTTCAATACACTCGATGATTTTTTTTTATTCGACATATGATTCCCTTATTTATATCATAATATTTTTAAAATCCATTGCATTTAGCTAAGGGAGAGAAACACAGTCATTTGCATTCATATCATGAGATCTTTCAAGACAATATGACAGTCCCAAATAAGGTGCCGTGTGTTGCTTCTTAGCTATCATGCCGTAAGGGCGCAGACCTCTCTATTTACAACAGATTAATGATCCTTATCAACATGATCGAAGTTAGAAACCATCTTCACACTGTTAAAATAAGAAGCTCTTTTGAATAGTTTTGTTTGTTAAATATAAGGCGAAAAAATAATTATTATAATGATACGGATTATAGAAGTTGCAAAAGAACATTTTTAGCAACAGTAATAGTAATAGTACTAAGTAGTGATAGTAGTAGCAACAGCAGTAACAATAGTGACAGTAGTAGTAGTAGTGGTAATAATAGTAGTAATAGAGTAGTAGTAGTAATAGTAGTGGTTGTAGTAGTAGTGACAGTAGATGTAATAGTAGTAGTAGTAGTAGTAATAGCAATAGTGTGGTAAAAGTGTAATGTAAAATTGTAGTGTAGTGAAAGTGTAGTAGTAGTAGTAATAGCAATACTGTATGTAGTAATAGTAGTAATAGCAATATTGTATGTAGTAATAGTAGTAGTAATAGTAACAGCAGCAGTAGCAGTAGTAGTAGTAGTGGTAGTGATAAGTGGTAGTAGTAGTAGTAATAGTATTGGTGATAGTGGTAGTGGTAGTAGAAGTAGTAGTGATAGTAGTAGTAGTATTGGTGGTAGTAGTAGTAGAAGTAATAGTAAAAGTAGTAGTAGTGGCAGTAATGGTAGTAATGGTAGTAGTAATAGTAGTAGTAGAGTGGTCTTAAGAGCAGCGGTACTTGCATTAGGAGTTGTGATATAAGTAGAAGAATTATTAAAAGGAGAAAGAGGACATTTGAAAACGAAGATGGATATAAAGAAGTCGAAAATGTGCCAGCCAGAAATCGTGGAGACC